TAAAGATCATATTCTTATCTATATATTATAAAAATTTAACAAAAATTAATTGCAATAGTAAAAAGTTTTATTAGTAATCTATTTCTATTTCTTATAAAAATCACGTTGTACCACAAAATTATATGACACAATGATCTACATACCCCTACCCTTAATCAATTTTTTTATAATTAGCAGTGGCATAGTGGTAGCATAGATAGTAAAAACATATAAAATTTAAATTGCAATAACTCTTGAACAAGCAAACCCACACAAATAAAATTATATTTGTCGGGTTCATTTTAGTGTACTCTTTAAAGTAACACCGCCTTTTATTTATTTATTTTTATTGATTGAAGGACTCAGTTTTCATACAAAATTGTCATTTTTGATATTTTTTTAATAAAAGCATCAAAAATGTCTTCTCGTATTGTATTATGCAATAGTGATCAACAATAGATTTATATTTTTGATATTTTTATTAAAAAAAATCAAAAACGACAATGTTAAAAAACTGAATCCTCTGCTATGCTTCAATTAATAAAAATAAATAAAAAAAAGGCATTGTTACTTTAAAGAGTACACTAAAATGAACCCGATAAATATAATTTTATTTGTGTGAGTTTGCTTGTTCAAGATTTATTGCAATTTAAATTTTATATCTTTTTACTATTTACGCTATCACTACGCCACTGCTAATTATAAAAAAAATCAATTGCATCATGTTTGTAATTAGATATCCAATAATGTACCATGCAAATAGATATCATATATATGATCCTATGACTTGCATGTGATTATTACTATGAGATTAATGGGACTCAGTCTCGGGACTGAGTCTAGATTAAAACTCGACTCATGGAGTCGGACTGGACTGAACTGGACTTTTAACATCCCTAATAATGACATAATGCAATGTGACATTATTATGTGAACCAAATGCAGATCTGTTTTGTTTTAGTGTTGTTTCCGACGGTGGTGAAGGTCCGCAACGAATCGACACACCGAACATGAACCTCTTCACTTTCCCCTTTCGTTGTGAATACGTGAGATTTACTTTCCGAGGGCGGTGTATTGTATTTGGTTCCATCTTTACTATCTTCTCGGCTAAGCGTTCCAGACTCTTTGCAAGATATTTCTTCTGCTCTTGTAATGTTGCTTTCCTGGAAGGTCGACTGACATAATACGTCCAAAGAAGGCATATTGCGTCCCATACTGTTATTATTAGTATTTGTCGAAAATAAGTCGGGCTCACCATCTTGCCCTCTGGTCCGAATGGAATCACAATTCTTTCCGGTGACCTACGCAAAAAAAAAAAGGGTTGTTAAATCGGTTTGAGGATAAAATTTGAGCAAAAACTTACCTGAATGGTTCCACAAACTCTATTATCAGTTTTCTCTGCCATCGTTCTTGTAAAGTGGGAAAGTCTCCGGACACCTACCAGTTCACATGGTCCTTACCAATTCGGGTAATTTTTGTACCTACCCTATTATAAATCTAAAACCTATCACGTGATAGTGTACCTACCCT